GTCGCAGGCGTATATGATATAAATTTTATATAAGAAATCAAACGCCGTACAGTCTTATAATACGAAATCAAGGCGCGCATACACTCCACCTCGAGCCTCGAGTCTATTGATTGGCACGGAGAGAGAAAATCAGCTATACAGTAAAGAGAATATTGGTCAATAGCTTATCCGGTCTCTCTCGTCGTAGCGTTTGGGCGGGAAGCGGACGTGTTCCGTAGGCGACGCTACGCTCATTTGTACACACACGCTGTATATACTAGGCCTACGAGCGAGGGCGTCGTCGTCCTCTCTCCCGCAGTATTTAATATGTGGGAGTACTCATGTCCATATATGTGTGTGTTTGTGTGTGTACTCCACTCGAGAGATCGATAATTTTTCCGCGCCGATATGATTGCCTTATCTTCCGATTCCAATTAGATATCCTATACTAGTTCTCGATCGAGCTTTTCCATATATGCTAACACAAGTGTGCGTCTCTTACGAAACGGATGTGATCGCAGCGGCAGCTCGATCGGATATGCGATTCGCGCGTGGGTTCACACATCATATTGTATACTTACGCTTATTTTGTGGCTTTCATAAATAATCGCAAGCGAGTACAATTGGATGGGGCTCCGATATATCTACTAGTACATCAAAGTGCTGCACCGCAGGCGCACTTTGATCTACGTCATCCCCCGCCCGAATCAATGTCTACTTTGGCTTTTTGAAAGATGTGCTCTCAACTTTATTATATTGTGTATCGCGATTTTTCGGTCGAACCTAAATATCCGAATTCTCTTTCTCTTTCTCCTCTTATAGTACGTGCGCGATGCGATTTCGAGGCGTGACCGAACGACTACGAAGGCTTCGAAAAATCTTACCGTATCATCGCTCGGCAGCGGCGGCGCCTTCGAAAAAAAAATTACTCGTGTGTGTTAGCCCGAGTTGTAACACCACCCCCCGGAGTATATAACGCAGCATCTTCCTTTTTCGTGAGAGGATTTTTTTCCTCGTACGTTGTATGTATGTGTGTGCGCGAGGCGGCGCGTGCGCGCGTATACCGATCCTCGAATAATCGCTACGGGCGTGTTAAAATTGCAATTTAAAAACGAGAAGAGAGAGATTGATCGGAGCTCGAGCGAGAACAAAATAATACGTATCTTTTGTGCGTTATAATTACTGTTTTTATCGCGACTTTCGTCATCGCGTCGATGCGATCCTCGCCCTGCTGCTGCTAAGTGTACGCGCGCGCATATCTTCACGCGACCGACCGATGTCGAGAGTCAAGATCGAGACATATTTGTAATAATAATACCCAACGGCGTCGGCGCTTTTCTCTCTTCTTATCGCGGCGGTGGTGTACCGCAAAAAGTCAACCGGTTGGATGATATCGACCGCAGCAGCCGTGTGCCGAGAGCAAACAATGCGAGCGACTGCAGAGGCAGACTTTCGGTTGCAGACTTTCGGAGTCGTGTCGCTTTTACAGGTCAACGATCGAATTTTCTCTGCGGTCGCGGCGATCATACGTATATGTCACGTACATCGTATTATATATTTTTGCACTCGACGTATTAAAAATTGATACGTAGAATAACCGATAGATCACAACTTGTTCGACGATACATAAATGTAATGAGGGAGATACGCCGCGCGCGAGAAAGGTTATACCAAGCGATCCATTAATCGGTAGCCGATCGATAAAAGTTGTAAAACGACACACATTTATCAATACGAACAGCAGCAGCAGCAGCTGAGATTTGTAATTTCGATCTTGCGAGGTTACCGATACATATATCACTGTACATACACGTTTGTGTCTATATAGGCTGCAGCCGCGCACCGTGTGTACCACGACAACGTCTATTTGCGTATAAATACACACAACGACGCGAACGCATAATTCAATTATTATTTGCCTCGTGTGCTGCGCCGCTGCATTGATCCTTGGAGCGCAGAATTGTGCACGAGCCGAGCGAGAGATAGCAAGCAAGTGATTTCATTGATCCTTGATCGCATTATTATACTCCGAGAGAGAATGCGAAAGATATGCGCCGTGGTAGTGCTGTTGCATTTTTCTTGCGTGCGTGCGTATAAATTAAGATTTCTAATCTTCGACTCGCGGCTATGTGGACAATTTCTTTTTTGTGCTGCACGTAGCTCAATTTTTTCTGAGCTTGTGTGAAATCGAAACGAAATCAAAAAGAGACACGACGGTTTTCGAATGAGAATTAAAAAAATTTATTTTTCGTTCAAATTCATTACGTTCGTATCGATCCATTATACATCCAAGTAAATTAGCGCAATTTACCTTTTGTTCAAAAAATCTATATACACGCGCTCAAAACTCACGCCGATCCTCGGCTAACAACAGATACGCCAGGCAAATGCTGCTCAGATCCCTGTTGGTGAGCAACTCGATGACTTTACGGCAGCAGACGTGAGGCAGCTCGTAGCGCGTCAGCACCAGGAAGCATTCGAGTGCCCACTCGCGAAAGAAACCTCGGGCCAGCTTCTCGCAGAGGTGTCTATAAAGGGCGTTCTGAAATCTCCCGGGCAGCGCAAGAATTCTGTTCTGCGTCACGATCTCGATGTAGTCCGAGTAGGAGATTCGTCGGGCGGCCTCTCTGGGTCCAAGCTCGACCAGGTCGTAGAGCGTCAGGCTCGGGGTCAGCCTCACGTCGGGGGCCCCCAGCCAATTGATCTCGCGATCCCTCTCGGTCTCGAAGAGCTCGCGACGACGGTAGAACTCGGCCAAGGCTCGGAGGACGCCGTCGCGGCCGAGAAGCTCGTAGCCGCGCTCGCGTAGCCGATCGATCACGCGCAGAATACGCGCGACCAGCGTCAGCTCGTAGTACTCGTCGATGATGTTGTAGCTCGGCTCGAGCTCCGCTAGAACCGGAAAAACGAAGTCTTGGACGTCCGCGTCGTTGTCCAGCAGCAGATCGACGCAGTCCAGCATGAGATTCTGCACGGCCAGCTGCAGGGCGCTGCGGCCCCGCTCGTCCCGGGCGTCGACCTGTGCGCGACGAGTGTTGCGCGCGTCGAGTACCATCCGCAGGAAGTGCGCCGATAGGCCGTCGTGGTGGTCGCCCTGCTCGCAGATCGCGTGCAGCGCTCTCCTGCCCCCGGAGCCGGCGGCGTTCGGGTCGGCGCCGTTGCGCAGCAGAGCCTCCGCGAGGACTCTGCGTCGCGCCGACAGAGCCACTAGTAGCTGAGTGTCACCCTGGCGATTGCGAGCGTTGATCGTTGCACGAAACGCCTCGCTACTGTCGTGGAATATCTGCAGGAACAGGGCGGCCTCGTCCTCGCTCGTCTTCCGGCAGATCAGGTCCAGAGGCGTCGATCCCGCGTCGTTGGTCCAGTTCGGCACGGCTCCGTGTCTCAGCAGAGATCTGGCCACGACCATGTGGCCGTGAGTCACTGCCAGATGCAGCGGAGAGTCTCCCGTCTCCGGCACGAGGCAGTTGGGATTCAGGCCGAGCTGGAGGAATTTGCGGACGACGTCGTCCAGGCCGTACTCACAGGCCACGTGGAAATGCGTCAGGCCGCGATCGTCGATGTAGTTTAGGTCGAATCCGTCATAGATCTTGAAGAGCCAATAGGCCACGAGGGCCCACGAGTCGCGCGAAGTAGTCTGCCTCGAGGCCAGGCGATGCACAGGCGTAGGGCGAAAAGTGATCGGATTGCCGTGCGGATCGAGTCTGGGCTCGTCCCTGTAACCGCTTCGAGCCACGAAACTGACGAGCCGCTCGACTCGATAATTGTCCTCGTCGGCGTTGCTGTAGTGATCGATGGAAGCCGAGAGAAGAGATTCGATTTCTTCGGACTCGAAGACGTCGCGGAGATTCGGAAACTGGCCCACCCAATCCCTGGCCAGTGAATAGAGTCGATCAAGAAGATTGCGTCGCTCGTTCGTGTTCTCCAGATCGACGTTCTCGCGCAGGCTCCGCAATCGCGCCAATCCCTCGTTGTAAAATTGATCCATCGCGTCTCTTCGGTCGATCGATACGGTATCGGCCTTATTTTATGCACACTCGGTCGCTCGCTTAATTAATATAAAGAATATATTTTTGTCACTGTTTTCGCGGGAATCGATGGCTGAATTATTTTATTATAGCTAAAATTTATAGCTAAATACGATCGACGACGGGATCTGCCTCTGTTTACGCTACAACATCGTAACGAGTACTGCTGACTGTACGAACGATCTGTCGCCGATTTAGAGTGTAAACAAGTACTTAAATGTCGAAAATTCAAATCTAAAATTAGTTCGTAAAGATGTTGACTGAAATGAAATTACAACTCGAGCAAATCTGTATGAATTTTTTTTTCACATTATTTATTAAAACGCCACGAAAAACCAGATATAAACAAAAGTATCACAACAAGCACGCTGTCAATCGGCATCGGTGGAGCCGATGATCGGTGGATCCAATAAGCCCGCCAAGAAGAGGTGCATAATATCCTTATTCTCGAACGAGCTGTCTATGATCATCTCGCAGCAGACGGTCGGCAGTCGGCATTGCGTCACGGCCTTGAAAAATTCCACCGCTGAGCGTCTGCAGCGGTCGCGAAATTCTGGATCCTCGTTCATCGACTGCTCGATCATGGCATGGAGAATTAACGTTATATTAACAATATCACGTTCGAGGTTCTCATTATAAGGAAAATTTCGCAAAATTCGCAATCGTTTCAATCTCTCGTCGTTAAAGTGATCCATTTTGCGCCTCTTCGCGTATCAATAAACAGTATCGGCCTTATTTTATTGAAAATACAATCTACGACGGGATCTTACTCTGTTTACTCTACGAAATCGTAACGGGTACTGCTGACTGTAGTATACGAGCAATTTGTCATCGATGTAGAGTGTAAACACGTGACAATGCTCGAAAATTCAAATCTAAAATTAGTTAATAAAGACGTTGACCAAAATAAAGTTACAACTCGAGAAAATTTGTATAAACTTTTTTTCGCATTATTTATTTGGAAGACATACGAAAAACTAGACACAAAAAAAAGTATTACAAAAATTAAAGTCGTCAATCCTTGGCCGCCAAGCAGATATTCAAAAGATTCTTGTTATCGAACGAGCTGTCTATTATTTTCTCGCAGCAGACTATCGGCAATCGGCATCGCGTCATATCCATGAACAATTCCACCGCCCAGTACCTGAGGAATCGCCTCGATATTATCTCGTACAGGGGCCTGAAACACGTCGCGTGGTACAGGCTCGGCAGCTTCGGCAGCCTCTCCGAGAATTCGTAGCAGTCGGCGTAGGTGACTCGTTTGGCCGCCTCCTCGACCTCGGCGCCGACAAGGTCGACGAGACACAGGTCCCTGACCCTCATCTCGTCCTCCTTCAACTTCTTCACCAGCTCCGGCTCGTCCTTGGCCCAGAAGGCTTTTCCGGTCATCTGGCAGGCGAACAGGCCGCGCTCCCGGCAAAAGTCGACGACGGTCAGGGCGCCGCTCTTGTCCAGCTCGTACGAGTCTCTGCCTCTCGCCTCGAGGCGCTCGATGCAGTCCAGCGTCCGGACCAGGCGCAGAAACGCGTAGTTGCTCGCGCTGAGATCGGCCTCGTAACGATCGTCGAATTCGCTGGCCGTGGGGAAGACGAAGCCCGCGAGATCCGCGCCTCGATCCAGTAGCGCCTGGACCGCCTCGGGCATGAGACTCGCCACCGCGGCGTGCAGAGGCGTCGAGCCCGTCCCGCTGGGATAGTCCGGACTGGCGCCGGCCTGCAGCAGCAGCTTTATAACCGAGGCCTCGCGATCCCAGAGCAGAGCGTAGTGCAGCGGACTCGTACCCGAGGCGTCCCGCACGTCGAGTTGCAGCGGCTGTTCGATCTCTTCGCAGATCCTGAGAAATCGCTTGGCCATCGCGTCGCTGGAGCGCTCCTTGCCGATCGAGTGTAGAGCCGTGAAGCCAAGCCCGTTGGCCAAATTCGGATCGGCCCCGGATCGCAGCAGCAGCTCGACGCACTTGAGGGCCTCTTCAACGTTCTCCAGGGCCAGGTGCAGAGGCGTGTCGCCCTCGTTGTTCCTGGCGTTGATCCGCACCGCCTCGCCGTTCTCCAAGACGAGTCTCAAGAGCAGCGAGGACATTCCGTCGTACTCGGCTCTCTTGCAGATCGAGTGCAGAGGCGTCAGTCCTCGGGAGTTGGCCACGTTCTGATCGGCGCCGTACCGCAGCAGTGCCTCGGCCAGGACTCTGCGCCAAGCGTTCAGAGCCACGTGCAGCTCCGTGTCACCGCTGCAATTCAGAGCGTTGGCCATCGACTCGGCCCGATAAGCTTCGCTGTTCTCGTGAAATATCTGCAGAAACATGGCGGCCTCGTCCTCGCTCGTCTTTCGGCAGATCAGGTTCAGAGGCGTCGATCCCTGACAGTTGACGAGATTCGGTACGGCGCCGCGTCTCAGAAGTGTCCGCGCGACGATCGCGTGTCCGCCTGCCACGGCCAGATGCAGCGGAGAGTCTCCCGTCTCCGGCACGAGGCAGTCGGGATCTTGACCGAGCTCGAGAAATTTGCGAACGACGTCGTCGAATCCGTACTCGCAGGCTACATGAAAATGCGTCCGGCCCGACTCGTCTGTGAAATTGACGTCGAATTTGTCGAAGATCTTGAAGAGCCAATAGGCCACGACGCCCCAGTCACATAACCTGCGTTTGGACACGAGATGCACGGGTGTGGTACGACGCTGCGCATCGACGTCGGCATCGTAGTTGTCTCTGTAGCCGCTTCGAGCCACGAAGCTGACGATCGCTTTTGCCATGTATGTGCATCCGAGTTTTATGGAATCCGAGAGAAAAAAGTCGATCTCTTCCTTTCGAAAGATGTCTCGGACATTCGGTAGTAGGCTCCTCCAGTCGCGGATCGAATAGTAAAGTCGATAGAGAAACTCATGTCTTTCTTCGACGATGGCCCAATCGACGTTTTCTCGCGACCTCTTCAATTTTACCAATTGTCTGTCGTAAAGCCTATCCATGTCTTTGGAAGTAGGCATTTTCTATGACGCTCGCCACAACACAACGCACAGTCGCTTACGATACGGACACACGTACACTTTTCACTCTTTTCACGAGAATCACTTGCCGCGGTCGTGATGGGATCTTCCTTTCTTGTTTACACTGCGGCGACGTAACGCATACTATTGCGACTGTACACGCAGTACCGTCCAACACTATGTATTACGATAGAGAGCGAGCAGCATGTGTCTGCGAAGCTACGCTGCTGCGCCTAGACTGTACGATGCCAGCGCCGATGGTCGAAATTTGAAGCATTTTCTATATAGTTTCGACGTGCAGACGAAAAATTTGGACATCGGCGCAGATGAGAGGCATACGAGTCTCGTTTGACGGCTATTGATCCACGCCGACATTTTTGGGCGCGACTTTCATTCAGTGCAAGGGGGGCATTTAATTAAATTTAACGATGAATCAAATTAATTGATATTAACCTAAAATATTTTTACTTTTAATTTTAACAATTTGCTATTACCGATTCGAATTAATTTTTCTTCGATTAGTCTAATTGTCAACTCAGCTTTACGGCATTTTTCGTAAAATTCGACGATCGGTTTTTTTTTCGATATCGAGTGCTCGAATACAACTGGACTCTTTTTTCTCTTCAATATAGTTGACAGATGACAGGAGACCTCTACGTGACTTGTTTTTGGTAAATAAAATAAAATTAAACTAGAAACACATAAAAATTAAAATCCAAGCAAATAAATGCATTTATTATCTGTAGAATTTGATCATTCGAGCGACACGAAATATCTACAGAATTTTAATGAAAATCAGCCAAAGAAAATTTCCAACGCGGCTCACAGGCTCGCAGCTTCCACGCAAGAATTAAAAAATTCATCATCCTCGAGCCGCGCGAGGATCGTTCCCCATCGGCGGCAAAATTCCCTCGCCATTATCTGGCCCAAGCGAGCAGCAATGACCATACTGTCTTCCAGACCGAATCCTCTCAGCAGCACCCAAATCTTATCCATACGCACATATTTGTAGCAGTCCCTTGCGGTGAGTCCGCGTGTCCTCGCGGAGTCGGGCTGTTCGTAAATCAGATTGTAAACCGACAAGCCCCGATTTATCATTAGACTTTTCATTAAGGCGGTGAGACTTTCACTTGAAATTACTCTCGACCTCAACAATTGAACATTCACCGATCGATCCAAGAATTCGCACCTTTGGAATATTTTCGCTATCGTCAGGGCGTCGCTCAGGGCCAGCACGTATCCTTTATTTTCGAGGTGCTCGACGCAGGCCAGCACGCCGGACGCCAGACGCAATCTGCCGAAGTCCAGCGGCGCCACCCGCATCGCGGCAAAGTGTTCCGCGGGAAAAACGATGCCGGTCAGATCGGCGTTACGTGCCAAGAGTGACTCGACTGTGTCCGGCTGGAAATTCTCTATGGCCAGCTGCAGCTGTTTCCGATGGAGGTCCATGGCGTAGACCCGAGCCGCCAACTGACCGACCTCGTCGTTGATCCGTGAGAGCGTCCTCGGCGGGGTGACGTCCAGCGGCGTCGATCGCCGGCTATCCCGGGACTCGTTCCGATCATAGACGGTCATCCGCTGACTATTTCGCATACGCTCGTTCCTGATATGATTATTCTGACTAAGTCGTGACTCATCGGGTCCATAGGTTTCGAGCCTTGGCGGTTGGATGAATGCGGCTTGGGGCTGGTACTCGGTAGTGTTCACCGCGTGGCTGCGAACCGAGGCCCGATACGGTAGCACGGAATCATTGGATTCTCGATTAATGAACTCGGGAAAGTTTTTGATGAAGTCCTGGCAGTTGTACTTGAGGGCCACACGATAATGCGTCACGCCGATTTCATCGGCGTAGTTCAGGTCGGTTCTGTTGTAGATTTCGAAGAGTGAATGGACTACGTTAGCCCATGGGTCCACGCGTGAGGGCCAATTATGCGGTCTGTTGTACACATGATGCAGCGCTGTGGTACGCCCTAATGGATTGTCGGATGAATCGAGTCTAGGCTCGTGCCTGTAGCCACTTTGAGCCACGAAGCCGACCAATCGCTCGATTAGATTATATTTTTGGCTGTTGGCCCAGTGACATACGGCATCCGAGAGGAGAGATTCGATTTGTTCGGGCTGAAAAATTTCCCGGAGGTTTGGAGGTTCGCCCTGCCAGTCGCTTATCAAAGGATCGAGTTCGTCGAGGAGATTACATCGCTCTTGTGAGTTATCCCAATTGACATTTTCAGATAATCTCTTCATTTCGTTCAAACGGTTTTGATTGTCTTGAGCCATTTTTCTATTCGTTCACAAACGAATATAGAGTCGGATGAATATAAAAATATATTCACAATTTGGCGTGCGGGAATCGATATAGCTAAATTATTATTTTTTAGCTAAATAAGGTCGACGCTATTTCTCTCTGTCTACACTGAGGCGTCATAACGTATACTGACTCAATAAACAAATAATACGATCTAATTTGGTCCGAGAATATGTGAGTGTATACGAGCAATACAAATAGGGGAAATTCACGTGTAAACATGTCGTGTTGAAAACGACGAGCAATCCCTCAGTGATTATATAATATAAATTCATATGGATAAATGCCAACCACGAAATTTTAAATCGGACATTAGATCATGAAAATTTCAGGATTCAATCGTTTACCTCGCACTGTCAAACAAATGCAGAAAAGTGTCGTTTTAATTAAGCTCAGTCATTTCTTTCTCAACAACGCGGACCTTTTTTGTCTCTCGAGTTTAAAACCACATCGATTTCTACACTGGTTTACGACCAAATAATCCGTTCGTTAAGAAAAAAAAGTACGCGGACAATTTGTTGATATAATTTTAGCAAATTTCAAAAAATCAGCAGCCGCCCAAGCTCATAGGTCCAGATTTTATTGGCACGTGATTTATCGAGCTTTCATATGTGTACTTATAACGCACCGCCGTTACATGGCACAACAATGGTTTGTATATTCAGCAACACTTCGTCGTCGTCGTCGTATACGACTTATACATTCTCGTATTTATCGAGTGCAACAGCAGCAGCAGCAACGATTCGTATACATAAATTTCTCGCGAACTAGTTGGCAAAAGAAAGAGAGTTAGTGTAAGGAGCTCGTTATCATATTACTGCTACAATCGTGTATGTGTGTGTGAGTGCGTATGACCTTATCGTAGTCTTTCTTTTTCTCTTGCGCTGCGTGAGAGGGCAAATTCAATTTCTCCGCGTCTATGTGACTCAACTATAAGTGCAACTCTCTCTCTCTCTCTCGCAGTTCGATCGATCAATTTTCTGGAAAAATTGCCATTGCACCGCCACCGCGGATTATTTTGCCGATTACGAAAGCTCTCGCTGCATCGACGTTCGATTTTTCAATTTTTTTTCAAGCTCGGGCAAAGAGGAGAGTAAAAAAAGGAGGAGGAGCGATCCGTCACGTGGCGCGCAAAATCTAAACGCGCGCGATGTTTTCGTCGGAGATCACGTATCGCCCTCCGTAACCCTATATATGGCGCAGCTCAGCCGCAATAAACAGGCTACTGTCTATATAACAAACGTATTATGTAATTTCTCAGGACTGCCCCGAGACCATGTGCGTGCGTGTGTGTGTACTACGCAAAAATCAAACTATATGGGAATTTTTATCTGCGCGTCACTGATATACTTTGTAAGTGGGCCTAGCAAAAGTGCTGCGCATCGCGAGAATCCAATCCGGCGAACTTGTATCTCGAAACACGCTTAGATGCTGTTTCGCTATATAGTTGAATTAATATACATTGTATAATATAATACGTATATCGATAAGCCTAAGCTTATTTTCAGAGTAATTGGCTCTGTTGTATAAATTCTCGTTCTTCTTTTTTCTTTTCAACGTCGACTCGAGTGCAATTCTCGTTGCGAGATTTTCAATTCCAGCGAAGAATAATTGCAAAGTCGCAAATATTTTTGCCCTACATCGCCCGAGACGTAAGCGAGTGAGTGACCAATAATAATGGCAGTAGTCGTTTCGAGAGTCGATCGAAAACACACAATAACAAACACGTCGTTAAAATTACATCAGATGTTATCGGTCATAAACATCGCGGGGAGCAGCTCCCTTATAATACTCGCCAATACGTATATAACATAAATATAAATTGGGAGAAAGTGCGATTGTATTTACACGTGTGCTGTGCTTGTGTGCATTTAGAAGTAAACGAAAAAAAAAGAAAAAAACAGCCGACGCCCGATCCTGTTTCTAAGCGTGACTGTTGCTGCTGCTGCTGCACCTCGAAGGAACGAAATGAAGAAAGAAGAAAAGAAACGAAAGAAAGAAAAAAGAGGAAAAGGAGGCAGACTCGAGGAGATTTCCGGAACCAGTTTGACGACGTTCGCCTCGCTTATACTCGCTCGCAGCTCCACACGTATGTATACTGTCATTGTATTGTTCCTGCACGTCGTTTCGACTACGACGAGCGAGGAAAGTAAGAGTTTTTAACCGCGCGTGTCGATTACTCTTCTCTGCGCTTTTTGCACTGCTCGTTAATTTATCCGCGCGGCGCTTGAGATATATAGCATTTCCTATGTTTTCCTTGGCAATTCGTTTTCTCGAACGCTGGATTCGGGATTAGAATTAAGAGCTCTGTAATGTATCGATGTCAAGAAAATAAGGTTTGTTTTAAACAAATTATACCACGAGTCACCTTCGTCTTTCTTTCTTTTTATCTTTTTCTTACGAAAGTTTTCAACACAGAAACTTTACGATTGCTCTCTGTCCCGATAGTTTTTTCATTTTACGGCTCCGAGCTGCCCATATTGTTAAAAGAAATTCCCTATTACGCGTCGTTTATGCGATTTGCCATAAAGTCGAGAAGTATGCCGTAGCGCGCATTTGCAATTCCTGCAGCGATGTTATTACATTATGCACATCGGAAATGGCTTTATCATCTCTTTCAGCCCCGTAGTGCCACGAGCAATTAATAATCGTTGCTTTACCTCGAGCGAATCTATCTCGAGCATAATTGCTGTATTTTCTCGACGCTAATAATAACTTTATTTATTTATTTAGAGTGATTCGATGAACCGCAGGTCGAGGCGTGTCGTGCGGAAAAAGCCGCTGCTGCCTCCCGATTTCTGCTCGAGTATATATATCAGAGAGACTTTTCGTGCTGCCCCGTACACAACGAGACAATAGAGGCTTTCTTTGTAAGCCTGTGT